CCCCCCCCCCCCCCCCCCCCCCCCCCCCCCCCCCCCCCCCCCCCCCCCCCCCCCCCCCCCCCCCCCCCCCCCCCCCCCCCCCCCCCCCCCCCCCCCCCCCCCCCCCCCCCCCCCCCCCCCCCCCCCCCCCCCCCCCCTCTTCCCCCCCGATCCCTCGCTGTCTCTAACAGCGCAGCCCCCCCATTTGATGCCTCCGCTCCTCGTCCCTATATTACTGGCCTAGTCCAGCCCTTCTTCCCCCTTTCCCCCAGCCTTAGGTCCCCTCCCCAGGTCCCCGCTCCTGGCCTAGGCCCGCTTTCCTCTCGACAAAGTCTCGCAACAGCCCCAACACCCCCAGCCGAACTCCCCCGAAGTCCTTGGTCGCAGCCCAACACCACCCCCCCTGCCCTCAGCATGCCGCGAGCTGCCCAACAACCTTCCACATTTAGGTTGTGTCGCCCTGAATCGATATACGGTAATACCACTACACGATGCAATTTGAAAAAAACAGAGCACTATCTATTTCAGCTGAAAAATCAAGACGTGGCGTTTGCACTCGTCTGAAAGTTCAGACTAACCTTTTTTCCTCGTCAAAACGTCAGACCAAACGAATTTTTTTATACATGTCTTCAGACGGGCTTGAATCCTAGCAAGAGCCCTGAGTGTACCCCTCAGAGTACATGGCTAGCTAGGATTGCTATTTACTTCCTCTTTGTACTCCTATCTTATAATCATCTTGTTCTCCTTCAATTTATTAACAAGGTCATTACAGAGGACTCAGTTCTCTCTCTTTTACCTATCCACTAACCTATTCCACTACGATCCTTCAGTTAATAGCATCACACATCATCATCGCGTACAAGACCAACCGTACTTCGAACATTTACTGGTAACGGTGGTTGTCAACCTTCGCCCGCATCACTTTCACCAAACCACGCACTGCTACACTCGGTGGGTCAACCTACGATTAAAAAAAACCTCGCTTCCAGCATTGCACAAGCTAGCTCGGACGCATCGCGTTACCATTTGCTGTATTTGCTCATGCCTTTGAATACACGTTGTACTTGTTTTGCGTCCTCAGTGCAATCTTCACTCGCTCGCACATGTAACACGTGGTATGGTATACGGTATGAGCCACTTTCCTTCATACCACGGCCGTGGGTGGTCACTGGACAGAAACACTACGGCGTTGATTGAGTGACAGGAGCGGGGAGCCGCGAGTCTGGAATGGAATGCCAGCAAACTTTCTTGCAAGCAGCCCACTGAACATTGCCAAGCCGTGTGGCAAGAGGTTTGCCCCCTATACGCAACCCCAGGATGGCAGTGCCATCATTGTCAGTTTGTGATCAGCGTTGCCATCATCATCCTTATCAGTTGTTATCGCATGTTCTGCCGTTGTGTTGTGCCCACCGCCACTGTCAGTTGTCTAGCACCAGAATCTCCGCGTCTTGCCCTCTGCACACACACAGCAGCAGCAGCAGCAGCAGCAGCAGCAGCACAGCATCAGCAGCAGCAGTGCAAGGGACAGGCAAAAGAGTGAGCAGCGAAGAAGGGATGAGACCACAGCAGCAGAGACCACAGCAGCAGAGCACACAGCTGCTGCCACACAGGCTTGAGTGGCTTGCCACTAGACACGTTCACAACCACCCCTGCCCACCACCCATGGGACTCACAAAGCATGCCTGCGGATGAGCAGGGGCACCCCCCCCCCTGCACCGGGGCACCCCCTCTCTGCACCGGGGCACCCCCTCTCTGCACTGGGGCACCCCCTCTCTGCACCGGGGCACCCCCTCTCTGCACCGGGGCACCCCCTCTCTGCACCGGGGCACCCCCTCGGGCGAACCCCCTCTCTTGCCACCGGGGCCAACCCCCTCTCTGCGCCGGGGCACCCCCTCTTCTGCGCCGGGGGCACCGCCTCTCTCGCCGGGGCACCCCTCCCCCCCTTCTCACTGCCAAAGCCCTCTGCCTCATGCCCACTATCCACTGCCCCCTGCCCCCCTGCCCTCTGCCCCCTGCCCCCTGCCCCCTGCCCTCTGCCCTCTGCCCTCTGCCCTCTGCCCTTTACCCACAGTACTCACAGCGTTTGTTGTGCGGATGAGCAGGTCTCCCCTCTCTGCGCCGGGCCCACCCCCTCCGTTGCTCCAAGCGCCGGCTCGGCTGTGTCTTGCCTCGCCGCAACACCCGCCCGGCCTGCCTGCTTCCCCCTCTGCTGCACCCCTTCGCTTCTTCTGCCACCTCCCCTCACTGCTGGTGTCATTGCCTGCTGCCCTGCCCTCATCCCCCTCTCCTGCCGGGTGTCAGTCCGTGACGTCGCATGGGAGGTGGCTATGGGAACCAGTCCAACATCCTGTTTCACACAAACACCCATCTGCTCCAACTTGATCCCTCTGCTCCTGCTGCTCCGTTGCCTGCCTCTCCTGCCTCGTGTCAGTGCGGGACCGTCGCATGTGGTGGCGCCGCTGCTGCTTTCCATTCCAAATCTTGTTTCACACACGCACCCATCTGCTCCCTGCTGCTCCCTCGCGCGCCTCTCCCTGCCTCGTGTCTGTGCGGGACCGTCGCATGGGAGGAGGTACAGGTGCTGGTGATGTGACTGCATGCTCTCTCCCCTCCCTGCATCACACCCCACCCGCTCCCTCCCTCTCGCATCGGCATCGCTTCTGACTCGACCCCATTCCCATGCTCAGCTCCCTTCCCCATCCCTCCTCTACCCCCACACTACGGCCCAATGCCTCACCACCCCTCTTTCCAACTCCAAGCACATCTCCACCCCGTCCAATCCCCATCCCCACCCCACCAGCACCCATCCCAACCACTTCTCACAAAGCTCCTCCAGCCTCCTTGACTCCCCCCTTCCAGGCATCTTCACCATCCACGCACCCCCCCTCCTCCCACTCGCCCTCCCTCACTCTCACCTCCCTCACTCCCCCTCTCACCAGCCTCTGCCAACAAGTCTTCCTCCTCCTCCTCCTCCCTCCTCCTCCTCTCTCTCTCCAGCTGCTGCTCCAGCTCCCTCAGACTCGCCTCCTCCTCCTGGGCTGCCACGTCAGCTGGTGACGATAGCTGCTGAAGGGCGGGTGGTAAACCACCGCGCTCGCTTTGAGGCACACTGCTCCCTCCCTCATGCTATCCCTGCCGCCTCTGCTGCCTCTCCCTGCTCTTGCTTTCCCAGTCGCAGCAGCAGCAGCAGCAGCAGCACCACCACCACCACCACCACCGCTATTGGCAAGCAGCAACAGCACCAGCACCATTGGCAGCCGCTGCAGCAGCAGCAGCATTAGCACCACCGCCGTTTGCAACAACTGCAGCGGCGGCGGCAGCAAGCAGCCGCAGCGGCAGGGCAGCGGGTGCCTGAATCGCTTCCCACCAGCCAGCAAGATGGGCTGTGGGTGCAGGAGCGCTGGGGCGGCAGAGTTGGCACGGCTCAGAGGCCTAGGCTTGGCCGAAGCTGAAACCGAAGCTGAGAAAGAGAGGGCGAGCAAGGGGCGAGGGACTACGGACGGGGGTGATGGGAGAGGGACGCGGGACGTGGGAGGAGGTGACCAAGGGAGTGGGGGAGAGGGACGAGAGGTGGATGAGGAGGGCGAGGTGCGGCATTGGGTGCTTGTTCTTGCTGTAGTTACTGCTCGATGTGTCCTGGCTGCTGCCACTGCTGGTGCCACTGCCGGTGCCACTGACACCTCCTCCCCCCCCACTGCTGCCAGTGCTGCTGCTCTTGTGGAAAACCACCGCCGCTCGCCCGCACATCCTCCCGCGCTCCCCTGCTCTGCTTGCCTGCTCGTGCAGTCAAATCAGCCTGCCTCTCACGCTGCCGTTGACTCGCCTCCACCGCAGCAAGCGAAGCCGCAGCGGATTGCTGCCTCCTCAGGCCGGGGGACGGCCGGAGGCGCCGGGAGGGCGGGAGGCCGTGGAGAGGGCAGTAGGCGGGACGATGACGCTGCTGATGCGTGCGAGGGGAGAGCCGGTGGTGATATCAAGTGCGAGGTGCGGCTTTCCATGCATGCGTCGTGGTCAGGGCTCTGGGGCGTGGGTGGGGGTCCCAGCGGCCGGGACCGACCCCCATGCACTCCGCTGCTCACTCCACCACCTGTGCTCTTCCGTCTGCCGGCCTGCCCGCTGCTGTCGCTCTTATCAGCGCTCTTATCAGCCCCACCGAATTGCCACCATGCCGACACGTGTTGGCTCTTTCCCGCCGCTGCTGACGTCGCCGCCGCGTGGCGTGCCCTCGCCCTCGCACCTCCCTGCGCTGCAGTCTCACGGCCCTCTGGCACAGCGGCTGCACCGGCTGCCGTGGGTGTGTTCCAACTCGCACCTGCACCTGCACTCACGCAGTGGTGCTCGCTCGCAGGCACGCCACCTGCAGCTGGTGGGTGCTGTGGGTGCTGCTGCGGGTGCTGCAGGTGCTGCGGGTGCTGTGGGCGCAGGCAGGTACCTCGCTGGGATCAAACGCTCGGACGCGGTTTGCTCCCCGCGCACGCCCTCGCACCGCAGCAGCACGGGCCGCCCACCCTCCCTGTGCCTGCTGCTGCTGGTCGCTGCCACGGCCGGTGCTGCCGTCACTCCCACTGCCATCGCTGCCGTCGCCTCTCCTGCCTGCCTGCGCGTCCGCTGCAGCGCGGGCAACGGCCGTCCTGCTGGCTTGGCGGACAGACGCTTCCACACAGCTTCGCGACCTTCCCCATTCTCCGTTTCTGCCGCGTTCGCCACCGTCTGACTCCCAAGGCACGACACGCCCTTCGTCCACCAGCAACACGCCCTCCGCCTCTTCAAACCAATCCTCGTCCCTCCTCACCACTCCCAACTCCTCCCCATCCACTCCCAAGTCTATCACTAGTCCTTTGTCTCGCCCCTGCCGCTGCAGCGCTCGCTGCTCCTCGCTGCCGCTGCTGCCCCCCAACGCCCCACGGATCGCCCCCGTCGCCGCTCGTGGCGGCGGACAGCACAGCGCTGCTTTCATCCTCGCTATGGTGCTCCTCGATATCCGCGTCCAGGTCCCACTGGTCAATCCCCGCTGCCTCCCCTTCGCTGCTTGTATCGCGCCAGCTGTTGTTTCCTTCATCACAGCCCCCGTACGCATTACAAGCGCGCCCGCTTGCTCCTAACAAGTCGTCATCATCAGCGTCTCGCAACCCCCAACTTCCGCCGCCGCCGCTACCGTTCTCCCGTTCGTGCTGCTCCCCTTCCGAGCCGCCACTTTCCCTTTCCTCTCTCGTAACCTCTTTCTCTCCTTTCGCCCCATTTCCTTCGGACCCGATTCTCGCCTTAATTTCTCCGTCAGATATTTCTCCATCTCCCTTCGCCATTCGTCCACGTCAGCAATGTCGCTCTGCGTGTCACTTCGATCCAGCGACCGCTGCTGCCAACCCTGCGCCTTTCCCATTGCTCCCTCCGCCACTCCTTCCGCGCCGTCCGTCCCCCACAACCCAGCACTGCCACTCTCCGCGGCGCCTGCTGTTCTCGCGCGCGGCAATCCGCGGCCCCCATAATCCCCGCCGCCTCCCCCCGCGGGCGCGCGCACCAGCTCGTACACGAACACGCTCCGCTTGCCCTTCCCCCGCCGCTGCTTCTTGCGGAACACACCGCCTCGGGCACGCCCCGCATCCGCGGGCGGCCTTCCCCCTTCCACGATTAGCACGTCGCGCACGCTCCGCTCGCCGCCACCGCCTTCACTGCGCGCCGATGGGTACAGCGCCGTCCGTACCGACGCTGCTTTATCCCCGTCGCCGCCCAACGCGCCGCTGCTGCTGCCGCCGCCGCGGATGTCAATCGCCAACGCCGGCGCTGCGCGGCGTCCGGTTGCTGTCACCACGCCAAAGTCGCATCCTCAGACGGCTTGCCGGTCCGGCTTTCGGCTGCCGCGCCTCCCGCTCCTTCCGCTTCTCCCGCTCCGCCCGTTCCTGCCACTCCCGTCGCGGTGTCCCAAAACCAACGCGCAATCCCCATCGGCGCTGTGCGCGGCCTCGATTTTCCACGGCTGCGCGACGGGAGCGGCTTATCCGCGAGGTTGCGGTGTGGCGGCGACACGTGGTGACCATGTAATTCGGAATTCGCTAACGCGTTGTTGTTTGAGTCGAAAGCTCCGTTACAATGTAACGGCTCCCCAGCGGGGTATGGGATGACCAGCGATGGTCGTGCGAGCAGGCGACTCTTGGCGGAGGCGCCGACTGTTTCAACAGCTACCTCGGTCTTCTTCGTGCCTTTCATATTTGCCCGCGCCGCCGCTGGTCGCGCTGACGCCGCGTTCGCGCTGTCGCCGCCACCGCCGCCGGCGCCATCACATTTGCGCTTCGAGTTGTTGCGGGTTACGTTTCCCGAGGGAGCAGGGCGGCACTCCGTACCGTTGGAGAAGTACCGCCGAGCGACGTCGTTGCTAGTAAGCGATGGCACTATAACGGGGGGAACGAAGACGGAGGCCGGGGGGAGTTCGCGATGTGGGCGTACGTCGTTCCGCCCCGGCGCCTGAGCACATTCCGATGCCCAGAACGACAATTCGTGCGACGCGTTTTCACTCCGACCGTCGCACGAGGCGTCGTTGGCTCGTCGCTCGAGGTGTCGCACGTGGCGTCGCAGGGAGTCGTTACGGGAACCGCAGTCGCTGCTGGGCGAGCAGCAGACGGGGAAGGCTGCGACGCACGCGGCTGCGGGGCTCGTGAGCGGCCGCGTGAAGACCGGCAGGGACGAGAGGGAGGGGATTTTCGGAACGGTCCGCGTAGTTGGTGTTGCTGGCGAAAATCTTTCGTCGAAAGTTACATCGTCGCCGAAATCACTAAAATCGCCGGCGAAGTTGTGCGGAGAGAAGCAGGCCAGCGGCGAAAACATGGTGGCGCCGGTTTCGCGCAAACTTCGCGATTGGCCGTGCTGATTTGACGTTTAGAAGCGAAACGAGGAGTCTGTCCGTCAGGGACGCGAGTGTCACACTAGCGCAGCAGGCGTCGAAGCACTCTGAGGGTACACTTCGGAGATGACGCTTCCACTAACAGCCTTATCTCACTCGCCAGCGGACGATGGTCCCAAGTGTAAGCACCGAATGAAACGACAGCTAAGAGTGGACGGGCCGCCGCCGTGACTTGCGGTGACAGTGGTGGGTGGGTGTCCTTGTCTGCGTATCGGCCCCGCCTCCGCTTCCGCCTTGGTTCCACCTTGGCCTCGTCGTGACGACGATAAGTACCCCTTGTGGGATCTCTATGATTGCTCGTCCTAACTCGCCGTGAGTCGTGACCGCTCATCGCGTACGTTCGCGAGTCGTATTGACGGGTAGAGTTGCGAACCTCCGTATGTTTCCCACAACAGTCGTCAGCCGGGTGGCACTCGCGGCCCGTGCAGATAGTTCCAAAAAAAAAGGACACGGCAATGAGAAAAATATTGTTGGGATGAGCCAATGGGATTAAGGACCACGCGACGCGGATCAGGGCTTCAGCCTTCTAGAGTTGATGTTCGAGTTGTCTGTCTCGCTGGGACGAGTGGGGAGCGTCAGACAAATCATTGTGGAATGGACGCGGATTGATTCCATATCTGACGCTTATGGCAAAGGGAAGAAAGGGTTTTGGGTGGTTGGGAGTTGCGCACGGTTTGACACTATATACAGCGGCAGGTTTCGGTGCAGTGGCAAAATTCTGTTTGCGGTTGGCTGTGGGGGGAGAGCGGGACCAGCAGGGAGAGGTGCTGATCAGGGGTCTTGATTCGTTTTGTGCCACCCTGTCAAATCAAAGTTTCAGGTCGAAGTCACACTGCCACTGCAGTGTTGCTGCCGCGTCGTACCCTAGAAATGGCAGGGTGTTGAAATATTTCTGGTCCGGTATGGCAGGGTGAAAATTTAAACTAGGCTGCAGCGGTCCAATCTGAGTGAGTGTCTCCGTGGAAAGGACTTAGCCAGTTTTCGAGCACATCCGACGCTTGTTTTGGTGCGGTGAGTGTCTCTGTGGAAAGGACTTACCCAGTTTTCGAGCACATCCGATGCTTGTTTTGGTGTATGTGTGAGTGTCTCCCGGCGACTTAGCCAGTTCTCAAATGGCTGAGGGACAAAAAAAAACTCAGTCAGAGTGCTGCCACTACCGAACTCGGCCAAGGCAGTGTGCTACAAGAACGAACAACTGCAAAACAAGGGTCAAAATTTCACGAGGCCTGATCGTGACAGGGTGGTAGAACCATTGAAACCTGTATTTACAGTGTGGTTCCAAAAAACGACCCTGAAAAACAGGCTAATCAGGATAAAATGCCCTGCAATTCTGAGGCCTGGTGCTGATGCAAGAGAGCTCAATTGAACTTCTGGGGCAATTTTCAGGGGGTGCATGGGTGCAGCTGTTTCCAAGTTACAGGCGCCTTTTTCATCAACTCGGTGAATGTTCCCCCTCCCTCAACGGCAAGGTTTTCCTGGCCTGAGTTGTTTGAAAATTTTCAAACCGCCCCGCATCAGATCCTCGGAAGGCGTGTGAACTGTACGTAGATTTTCCAGCTGAAATATTTCCACCTTGTGCATGGGGTGGGTGGGGGGCCTGGTGCCCCACCAATTTCTAGTGGTGGACACAAGACCATCGCACGTCAGCGTTGGATTGACAGGCAGTCCCTCCCTCCCTTTCCTCCGGCCCATCACCCTCTGCCAAAACTGTACCAGCAATTAGCGCAAGGAACGGGGAGTGCCCACCAGCCAGGCTGGAACGCGCAGTCCTCGATCGACTGTGAGGATCGCAGTGGCAGCATCGTAGATTTCACTTGGCTTGGCTGGCACACGGCAAGGGCGGTGCCAAGCGTTAGGGCGTGGAACTGGTCGTGGAAATCAGCGTGGTTACCCTTCTTAAGGTTTCCGTTCATTTCGTTAACATTTTTACAGGTTCACGTCACTGGTCACCATGATTACCACGATACTGCAACCGGGTCTCGGAACACTAGCACAAAACCGGCACTGGGTTGTGCTTCCTTCCCACCTGAAGGCCCAACCAACTGGCCTGCGCATCCCCGCAAGGACACAAGGATGCCAGTCGCAAATTCATGAGTCGCAAAAGAATCGGTGCGACTGGTTGTTGGCGATGATTGCTAAAAGTTTAAAGCTCGCGGCCCAAATTGTTCAACCTTAGTAAGGTTGACCTTTGGGTGGTGGGAGAAGAAGTTGACTTGTTGGGAGTTGGGCTGTTTCCTTTCGCCCATTTTCGCGCTAGACCCTTGGGGTTTTCGTTGACACGGCAAACCCCTGGGAGCAACCTGGGTTTGCTTCGAGAGTCCCAAATTGCAATCAACATATTGTTGTTCCCTGCTCTCCCATTCGACAAAAAAAAACTGGCCAATCAGATTGCATCTCACTTCTCGTAACCACCCTTCGCAACCCAAACAGCACTCAAAACATCACCCCCGTCAACCTTAGTAAGCTTGGCCAGCGCGCCCCGCAATTTGGGCCGCGAGCTTTAAGCTTCGAAAACAGATCCTCTCATGCGTAACCTGATTTTGCTGAAGCCGCAAATCAGCAACCGGTTCCACGCCCTTATTCCGGTTCAGCAGAAGTGCATCATTCGTTATGGAATAGTTTGCAAGTGTGGAAATTCCAAGTGCAGCCTTGTAATACAAGATATCAGTTAGATAAAGGATTATGCTTAAAGGATCAATAAAATTACAGGATAACGAAAGCAATCTCTTCAAATCAGTATCACATAAGTCATGTATAGATTACCAGGTGATGACGGTATGTTCAACAAGGTTGTAAGAAACACCAGACATAACTTCATTCGATATAACTAGACACAGTCATGTGAAGCAACCCGTTACCCAGGTCTTTAATAATTTTGTTCACGTTGAGAAGACATACCCATAATTAATAACTAATGTTAAGACTACAGGGTGGTATATTTGGGGAGTTACGGAATTTCATGTTTAATACGCACGTGTACTGCCATAATGTCCATATTTAACGCCCTTTGGTTGACTTCAACTGTAGCCAACTCCATAGGCCATCACCTATCGAGCCAACACGCATGAACGAGCTCACATTAGAATGTGAGCCATGAGACCTTTCAGCCTCCCTCCCACTGCTCTCAAACGACGCAGCAGAAACATCCCTTGAAGATATACCCTCGTTGCCTTCACTCTCTTCCTTCGCAACACTCTCCCACTCGTCCTCCCTGTCGGGACAGTGCTTGGCAATGAGGGCGCTGAGGCGGCATGCCACATCCTTCATGGTGGGTCGCCGTGTGCCGGGAGACTTGATGCAGTCTAGAGCCAGATCTGCAAAGTCGACTATTGCCTCCTCACTGACCACTGGCATCTTGCTGTCCCTCAGCTCCTCCAGATCATACGCCTCCACCCTCTTCATTGCCTGGAGGGTGCAACACAAGGAAGCATAAGAATGGGGGAAGAGGTGCAAAGGAACAAAATATGCAGGAAAGCTTAGTGGGAATATACGCGTATAGCGTATATATGCGTATCGTATATACAGTAACGTATATACGCTAAACGCTTAAGGGTCGAGTTGGTAATACGCTTTTCAGGCAGGTAAAAAACTATCCCGGGCAGGGTGAAAAAAAACGTCGTGCTCAACACTGGGAAGGTGTTCCCTCTCACTAAGACTTTCGTAGCAATTCCCTAAGTCTGAACGGCGATTGGGGTGGGATGTGGGAGTAGACACTAGAAGAAGAAGTCGGCGGGAATGTCAGCTAGAAATGATGACTGGAATTTTGCTGGCTGGTAAGTAGCGTGAGTGGGGTTTGGTGGGGGACGTTTTTGACAGGTTGGAGTTCGTAGATAAGATGGGTTTCAATGCGGTACTAATCTAATGTTCAAATTTGAACTGCCTGCAAACTCCGAAGGCACATTCCCGCTTCCCTAGACCGTCAAATTGCATTTCGACTTCGGCGAAATGCTCAGCAGAAAAATCCGCATCATTCCGTAGACAAGCGATTTTTTTCCCGGGCAGCCCGAAAAACTTTCCGATAGCGTATAGCGTATTAGCTAGCGTATTGCGTTTTGCGTACACATGCTAGCGTATATACGCTATACGCTTTCGGGTTTGAGCGTATATTCCCACTAAGCAGGAAAGGTGGTGGAAGGGAGCATAGCAACAAGAAAGGGAGTGAAAGTCAGTATAAAAGGAATTAAGGATAACTGTGCGAGCATAGCATAAACTTGAGAGTAAATGGGCATGAACATTGTCTCATAACCATTTGCTTATATGCGTTTTTGCGTCGACTCGTGGCGGCTTTCCACTCAGCAACTCAAGAAGCACGATTCCAAAGCTGCAAGCAACCATGCATTGGAAGTAGTGAAATGAACTTGGAAAACAATGGGGAGAGGTACCGGGTACAAGTTTCCAACATAACCTGGATGATTCATAACCACAGGTGCACAAGTTCATGGCGCTGTGCAAATGAACGAGCACACATAGACATGAGCACAAGGGCGAACACCTGTTCGGTTCGCCTCGAACGTGTTCGAGGCGAACCGAACAGGTTTGTTTTTTTTTGCTTAAATTGTTCGCCGAACAGTGTTCGATGTTCGCCCGAACACGTTCGTGTTCGGGCCGCTGCTGCAATTTGCCCCGCGACGAACACGAACGTGTTCGAGGTTCGCCCGAACACGCCTTCACAGGCGAACGGCGAACACGAGTTTTTGCTTAAAGTGTTCGCCGAACCGAACAGTGTTCGGTTCGGCAAACGGATGTGTTCGTCTAGGGGCGAACATGAACATGTTCGTGTTCGCCCCTTGCTCATCCCTGCACACATGCTCACCTGAACACGTCACTCTTGGCTGTGATGACGTTGGTGCGGTTGTAATCCGGATCCACATATCCCGGAGTGCCGGCCACTCGCGTGGCATCAGCATCGCCGTGAGTGAGGCGTTTGAGCAACCCAAAGTCAGCCACCTTGGCTTGCATGTCTCCAGTCACAAGGATGTTGGCTGGCTTGATGTCGCGATGAAACGATGGGTGTGTCAAACCCATGCAGGTACGCCAGGCCCTCTGCTGCTCCCTGTGCTAGGCGCAACCTCTGGCGCAGCGACAGCGGACCTAGGTCATGAAATATGTACACCAAGCAGCGAGTGAAAAAAAGAAAAATACGTTATGAATGATGGCTTTTTAGTGATGGTGTCATGTCTTGTGCAAAACAGAAAGAGAAAATGAAAAAACCGCATGGCATCCATTTCGTCATTGTGGCTGTGCAACTCACGCTTGGTTGCATGGATATGGTACTCTAGGTCCCGGTTGCCTATAAACTCGTACACCAGAATCTGCTCCTGCTTGCCCGTCTCCACGTTCTGGTCCAGGCAGAAGCCCAGCAGGCGCACGAGGTGTGTGTGGTGGAGAGACGCCATGGTTCGCACCTATAGTGAGAAGACAATACAGGCAGACGCACATGGCCGAGGAAAGGTGGGCATTGAATATGCAGGTCGGTAGTTGCCACACGGACATGGAACACAATGCAGGGGGATGCGTATGGGCTACAAGTCAGCATTTTGAAAAACAGAATGCGCGCACTGAATTTGCAGGTCGACGTTCTGAAAACCATGGAGTATTGTTAGAACCCCAACCACTACATTACTGGAATAAAATGGCTTGTTGAGTAGCGAGTGCACCCATAATTTCCTAGGCAAGCGTGCCTGGAACTCTTTCCTGGGATCAATCGGGGATTTTCAGTGCAGGTCTACTGACACCCCTTTGTCATTGGGATGCCCTAGAACACGATATAGCAGCAGAGACACATGAAAGCCAGCATGTGAGCACACGATTCGAATCCAAGACCTTCGCTCTGATACCATGTCAGAATTTCAGCCACTACAACACTGACATAAAATGGGTGAGTGAACCCTTAACCTCTAGACAAACGTGTCTGTAACCGTTCCTTAGGATCAATCGGAAAATCCCCAGTGCATGTCTTCTGACAAGTACCAATTTTTGCCTCACCTCCGTTTCAAAGTCGTTGGTCATGATGGTGGAGCGCTTGATGGCCCACAGCTGGCCATGTGACGAGCGGCCTTTGTAGACAATGTCGAAGCCTCCCTTGCCCAGCACATTGTCCTCCGACCAGTTGTTGGTGGCCTTAAGCATCTGCTGCAGCGAGAACTGCTCACACACATCCAACCCCTCCCACTTCTCTGCGCACACATGAGGACAAGGGGGATGAACGACCAGGGGAGTAAATGAGTAGACAGAATATGGGAGCAACGAAGAGGCAGAGCTGAAATGCAGTAATAATGGCAGAGCTGGGGAGGGAAGGAGGCCAGAAAAAAGGCACAGCAATAGGGGAGACGGAAATGAATGGAACTGAAGAAGGGATGAAGAGCTCACTTGGTCCACGGGGCCACAGCAGCCATGTGACCACAAAAGCCAGCAAAATGAAGCCAGCAAAGCAGCCTAGAGTAATGCCCACTATGGCACCCGTGGATAGCGACGACACTGCCAACGAATGGGAGGTTACGGGAATCGGGGCGGTGGTTAGACGAAGGTGTCGAGGTGAGGCAAGGAGTGAAAAGGTGTGTAGGAGAAAAGCCAGCTGACATGGGTATTGGTGCAGCGCGTAAGAATGGGCAATGCTGCCAGGCTGAGGCGGTGCTGAAAGCCTAGGCAGTTTCATAAGAATGAAGCAAAGGTTACCAGTGGTGGTGGTGGAGTTGACAATGGCGCATGTGGAGCCGTTGCCTGAGTCGAGAGTGGAGTAGCCGGCATCGCAGAGGCACGTGAAGTTGGAGGGGGAGGCTGTCCGTGATGCTGCTGCAGAGGTGGGGTCAGCCGGCACACACACCCCATGGCCGTCACACGGGCCGTTGTCCGTGATGCTGCAGAACGCCTGGCAGGCTGCCGTGCTGCGCTGGGTGGCGTTGACCGAGCACTCTGTGCTTGGGCTGAGCGTCAGGCAGTTGCCCGACAGACTCACCCTCAGCTTCAGCCCGGCCCCTGTCACGGCGTAGTCTTGTAGTAGGTAAGAGGGTAGTGCATTGTTGCAATTGCCGTCAGAGACTCGCCAGTTGGAGGTGTCTTTGAGGCCGAGGCTGTTGGGCTCGCTGACCTCGGTGGGGCAGACCTTGCAGCCAGCAGCAAAGAGCACGGCTTCCCCAAAGAAGAAGTTGCGAGCCAGGTTGACGAGGGGCGCCGCTGTTCGCCACCATGTGCTTGAAATCGCGGTTGATGCGCCCATACAGGCTGTTGCCGCTCACATCACTATGGGTGGGAGGCACGGAAGAGGGGGAGGGGGGGGGGCGGCACATGGAGGTTAGATTAAAGCGCCGCTGTTCGCCACCATGTGCTTGAAGTTGCGGTTGATGCGCCCATACAGGCTGTTGCCGCTCACATCACTGTGGGAAGAAGTGGGGGCGGCGGCACATGGAGGTTAGATTGGTGCGCCGCTGATCGCCACCATGCCCTTGAAGCCGCGGTTGATGCGCCCATACAGGCTGTTGCCGCTCACATCACTGTGGGAAGAAGTGGGGGGGGCGGCACATGGAGGTTAGATTGGTGCGCCGCTGATCGCCACCATGCCCTTGAAGCCGCGGTTGATGCGCCCATACAGGCTGTTGCCGCTCACATCACTGTGGGAAGCACAAGGGCCACAGAAAGAGCCGAACATGCTGTTGAGTGTTTGGTTGGAGGATTCCCACCACATGGTCTGCAACACCAAGCAAGCACATGCATTTCATCACTCGATGCAGTGCCCATGTTGGGGGTGCGAGCTGTTGCATCTACGCATGAGAGAATAGTGTATGCATGGTCGGCTCACATTTGGTTGATGCACTTGTCAAAGAGGCAGTCTGGCAGGGGTCCGTAGAGGTAGTTGCGATGCCCATTAGTCAGGGTGCGAGCTAATGCATGCATGGTAGTGAGGATTGAGAACGCGTGGTCGGCTCACATTTGGTTGATACACTTGTCAAAGAGGCAGTCTGGCAGGGGTCCATAGAGGTAGTTGCGATGCCCATGAGTGAGGATGCGAGCTAATGCATGCATGGTAGTGAGGATTGAGAACGCGTGGTTGGCTCACATTTGGTTGATGCACTTGTCAAAGAGGCAGTCTGGCAGGGGTCCATAGAGGTAGTTGTTGCTGATCATGCTGCCAGCACAGCAGCACAACACATGCTGCACCATGAGTCATACACCCATACAAAATGGCAACACACCATAGAGAGATATTATGCTGATAATTTCCAGCTTTATGTGTTCAGCAGGTATACAAAACTGCTTGCAATAAGCGACAGTCTGTCTATCCTAGCTGGGAAATAATAATAATAATAAAAAAAGCAAACAGTAATGCCCCACAGCCAAGCGCCACGACCACTCACAAGCGCCACAGCAGGGGCAGCGAGCACAGGCCAGTCGGCAGAGAGCCTTCAATCTTGTTGTTGTCCAACCAGCTGCGGGGGCAGAGCATTGGCAGGAGGCAGGAGGCATGAAGAGCAAATGGTAGGCAGAGCAGTGGCAGGCAAAGAATTCGCAGGAAAAACAATGGCAATGAGCACAGGCCAGTCGGCAGAGAGCCTTCAATCTTGTTGTTGTCCAACCAGCTGCGGGGGCAGAGCATTGGCAGGAGGCAGGAGGCATGAAGAGCAAATGGTAGGCAGAGCAGTGGCAGGCAAAGAATTCGCAGGAAAATCAATGGCAATGAGCACAGGCCAGTCGGCAGAGAGCCTTCAATCTTGTTGTTGTCCAACCAGCTGCGGGGGCAGAGCATTGGCAGGAGGCAGGAGGCATGAAGAGCAAATGGTAGGCAGAGCAGTGGCAGGCAAAGAATTCGCAGGAAAATCAATGGCAATGAGCACAGGCCAGTCGGCAGAGAGCCTTCAATCTTGTTGTTGTCCAACCAGCTGCGCGGACAGAGCAGTGGCAGGAGGCAGGAGGCATGAAAATCAGGCAGAGCGAAGGGTAGGGAGAGCAGAGCAGTGGCAGGCAGAGCAGTGGCAGGCAGAGCATTGGCAGGCAGAGCAGTGGCAGGCAGAGCTAAGGCACCAATGGTTATATGAATGAAGCGCAGCGGGTGGAGTGGGGATGGCACAGGCAATGTTTTGTGCCCCGATTTTCTTTGTTAGTTTCTGATCTTTATGTTCACAGTGAGGACGTTTGCTGGACTTGTGTTTGTAATAAACATCTTCCTGTAAACCTGTGCTGTGCTGCCTGCATTGCTCACAAAGCTGCGAAAGTTCTTGAGAATCGTAGGGGAGCAAGGCAGATAGCACCCTCACATCTGTTCGAGCTTCTGTAGTTGGCTGATGGCGGCTGGCAGAGTGCCGGTGAGATGGTTGTTGGCCATGTAGCTGATGGTGCACAATGGCAATGGCAATGGCAATGGCAATGGCAATGGCATGGAGACACAGTGTAGGGCCTTAGGCCATGCGGCTAAAGTAGCTGACGGGCAATGGCAATGGCAGGGAGACGGTTGGGAGGGAGGCAGTACAATTGTGACGAGAGGGAGACATTGTAGCTGACGGGCAATGGCAATGGCAGGGAGACGGTTGGGAGGGAGGCAGTACAATTGTGACGAGAGGGAGACATTGTAGCTGACGGGCAATGGCAATGGCAGGGAGACGGTTGGGAGGGAGGCAGTACAATTGTGACGAGAGGGAGACATTGTAGCTGACGGGCAATGGCAATGGCAGGGAGACGGTTGGGAGGGAGGCAGTACAATTGTGACGAGAGGGAGACATTGTAGCTGACGGGCAATGGCAATGGCAGGGAGACGGTTGGGAGGGAGGCAGTACAATTGTGACGAGAGGGAGACATTGTAGCTGACGGGCAATGGCAATGGCAGGGAGACGGTTGGGAGGGAGGCAGTACAATTGTGACGAGAGGGAGACATTGTAGCTGACGGGCAATGACAATAGCAATGTCAGGGAGACAGTGCGATCAGAAGCAGCACATGCAATGCAAGAGCAGTGCGGGCTGATGCAGGAAAGCACCATGGGGCAGAGGTGGGAACACTTAAGGGCACTTAGTAAGGGGGTCCCTTGACCCTTGAGGCTTACAGGTATTTCAGATTCGTCGTGGTGAATATGGCTGATGGGATGGTGCCTGTCAGCTGGTTGTTGTTGAGTAAACTGCAGGACATGGTAAGGGGTGTATTGGTTGAGTCATGAGAAAAGTGCTGAATGCATAGGCTGCCTGTCACTGCAAAGGCTCGAACATGACTTTTGTACACGACAGTGAGGCAGGGAGAGAGGCAGTTGGTGACGGCCCTGTTGTGGCACAAGAAGAGAAGAGAAGGCTCACCCACATGCCCTCGAGGGTGGTGAGGGTGGAGATGGAGTCGGGAATAGCAGGCAGGCAGGCAGGCAGGCAGGCAGGCAGAGGCAGGGAGGCAGGGAGGGAGGGAGGGAGGGAGGCAGTTGGGGACAACCCAGTTGTGGCACAAGAAGAGAAGACGGCTGACATGCCGTCGAGGGTGGTGAGGGAAGAAATGGAGTCGGGAATAGCAGGCAGGCAGGCAGGCAGGCGGGCAGGCGGGCAGGGAGGAGAGTTGGGGACAACCCAGTTGTGGCACAAGAAGAGAGGAGAAGCCTCACATGCCCTCGAGGGTGGTGAGGGTGGAGATGGAGTCGGGAATCGACCCTGTGAAGTTGTTGCTGCTGAGATCTCTGATCCACAACACAAGTGAAGGAAAAACAAGACCGAGCAATGCGGGAACGTATAGCACAAACCCCATGGTGCTGGGAACAAGATTGAGCAAGTGATGTTTAGAGTGGGACAAGAACGAACAGACTGTCTCAGAGTTGGAGGCTTACTTACATTTCTACACATCTAACGTTCCAGCGTGAGAAGTCAGGTAAGGAGCCCGTGAAGCCATTTCCGCCCAGGCTACTGCACGGTGCAAGAGGAGCGAATGAGACTTCCAAGGGTATAAAAGCTAAGCATCTAAGGGGAAAAATGGCACCAGGCACACACAGTAATGGCAGCACCCACCCAGTCGCTGCCCTACTTACAGCGTTCTAAGAGAAGTTGTGACACTAAGAGTCCCTGGGAGTTCCCCTGAGAGGAAGTTGTTAGCTATTTCTCTGTGTTGCGATGGAGGCGGATAGTGAAGGGGCTGAATGCAGCAGTCTGAAACTCAAGCAAACCGCCAAAGCACATGCATGCATCGTGGGCCTCAGAGAGACAGGCAACAAGCTTGGGGTGGAAAGTTGAATACTTGGGCGATGCAGGGAAGGGAGACACTCACGAATCAAGTAGTATGCATGTGGATTCCTAATCTAGTATACGGCAGCAAAACAGAGTAATTGCTGAGTACCATATGACTTGAGGACAGTTGAGATCGGTTTTGTATGCACCAAGGTGGAAAATGGAAGAAATCATCTTTTTGAAACAAGTATAACGGAGCTACTTACAGCGAGGACAACATGGGTAGCCGAAGCAGGTCGGATGGGATGGTTCCATGGAAATTGTTGTCATTGAGATTTCTGGAACCGGGCAATGGTATCAAGAACCACAACATGACACCGTCTTTCAAGCAGACTTGCCAAAGAAATCCTCTCTATTCCGAGTCATTTCTTGCCCTACTTGGCGATTGTTCCTTTTTTGTTCGTATCCCATCCCTTTTAGTCCTACTGCACTTCCAAGGACAGCCCTGAAAGTTTTAGAAGCTTGTGCACCCATAACCACAAGCCGACTCACAAGTCCCCTTGATAAGCCTAAAGAAATTCTGTGCTGTATCAAGCAGTTGCGCCACTCACATATCTCCCAGGTTGACATGCTTGGCCAATTCGCGGGGGATGGTCCCTGTGTGACTGTGTTGTTGCCAAAGTTGAATCACAACAAGTCTCCTTGATGAACCTGATGGAATCTGTGCTGTATCAAGCAGCAGTTCCACTCACATATCTCCCACGTTGAGAAGCTTGGCCAGTTTGCGGGGGATAGTCCCTGTGAAACTGTTGTTGCCCAAGTTCCTGCCATGGCCATTTCAATTGCCACATTATTTGCTCCGATAGTTGTTTCAGGGTGAAAAGGCGGGAAGCACAATACGTCATATCTCAAAGGAAATAGAGGCATTTGCTCCATCAGTGCAGCATGAGCAACAGGTCGACCCGACCGGGGGTTTTGGCCAGGTTGAGTCACTCATTTGGAGGGCTTGACCAGATCAGATCAGCCTGACCCAACCTGACCTGACCCAACCTGACCTGACCCAACCTGACCTGACCCAACCTGACCTGACCCAACCTGACCTGACCCAACCAGACCTGACCCAACCTGATGTGACCCAACCTGATCTGAACCTTGAGTCGGGATTTTCCAGCTGGTCGACCCAACCTGACCCTGGGTATATGCCGAACCAACCCGACTCTAGGGCTGGGTGGTTTGGGATAATCTTTAGGCCTACTCGAGCCGACCTGACTAAAATTGGACCCGGTCAGTCAGGTCAGGTCGGGTCAGGTTGGGTCGGGTTGACACGTTGCATGCACATGCCTAAGTGCAACGCAACTCGTTTTTGTGCGTGAATGTGTTACAAAAATACAAGGGCCACGTATGGACGTGTTACGTGTTCAGAGAGAGCCACGTACAGGGATACAAGGCTCTTCTGGCGCAAAATAAACTCGGGAAAGGTTCCCGTAAATCGGTTGTTCCCAATGTCCCTGTATAAGGTCCAAGACACAGGGTGGGTGGGTGGTGGGGGGGGGGGGGGGGGGGGGGGGGTGGGAAGACGATGAAACAAATACATGGAGAGTGGAGCATGGGAACGAATGCCTTCAGGCGCTCATATACCATGAATTTAAAAAGCACTGCCACCAGAAATTATTATTAAATCATGCACCAAACTACTCAGGTGACCTTACAATAGGGCCAGTCATTACGCTAACTGTTGCTCCATGCCACCGACCCGTATAGGTGCGACAAAAGGGGTTGATTGGTGCACTGCACTGATAAGGTGAGAGATGGATCGAGTGCACTCACAGGCGTGTGAGGCCACTGATTGCCGTTAAGGACGCTGGAAGCACACCAGAGAAGTTGTTGGTATGAAGGCGTCTGCAAAGCAGCACCAGAAAAAAACATCTCAGGTGTTGCGGGCAGCCAAAGTGGACCAAGGGAAGCGAGGGAAAGCAAGGTCCCCTCCAATAGGAGGCCGCTGAGGTGGCGAAGAGGGGAGAACACTCACATGGTATCAAGCCATGGCATCTGAGTCACCCCGTCAAGGCCTGACCTGAGATTGTTGAGAATTCGCAAAAACTGCCACTCACATGGTATCAAGCCATGGCATCTGAGTCACCCCGTCAAGGCCTGACCTGAGATTGTTGAGAATTCGCAAAAACCGCCACTCACATGGTATCAAGCCATGGCATCTGAGTCACCACGTCAAGGCCTGACCTGAGATTGTTGAGAATTCGCAAAAACCGCCACTCACATGGTATCAAGCCATGGCATCTGAGTCACCCCGTCAAGGCCTGACCTGAGATTGTTGAGAATTCGCAAAAACCGCCACTCACATGGTATCAAGCCATGGCATCTGAGTCACCACGTCAAGGCCTGACCTGAGATTGTTGAGAATTCGCAAAAACCGCCACTCACATGGTATCAAGCCATGGCATCTGAGTCACCCCGTCAAGGCCTGACCTGAGATTGTTGAGAATTCGCAAAAACCGCCACTCACATGGTATCAAGCCATGGCATCTGAGTCACCACGTCAAGGCCTGACCTGAGATTGTTGAGAATTCGCAAAACCGCCACTCACATGGTATCAAGCCATGGCATCTGAGTCACCCCGTCAAGGCCTGACCTGAGATTGTTGAGAATTCGCAAAAACCGCCACTCACATGGTATCAAGCCATGGCATCTGAGTCACCACGTCAAGGCCTGACCTGAGATTGTTGAGAATTCGCAAAAACCGCCACTCACATGGTATCAAGCCATGGCATCTGAGTCACCACGTCAAGGCCTGACCTGAGATTGTTGACCGCAATGTCTCTGTCACGCGGAGCGCGCGCGCACGCACACACAGACACACACACACACGCACGCACGCACGCACACGCACGCACACACGCACGCACGCACACGTGTGAGAGGCAACAATCACACTGCTCCTGGGAACACAGCAACCAGTAACATGTGAGGCCATGCAACCGACTCTGCAAGCAACCAGTAACGAAGGCCCTGCAAGGCACAGCAATGAAGAACCAACCGAGTAACATGTGAGGCTGCGGACTTGATTCTGCTGTGCAGCAGTTGTAGCTCAGTGGGGGCAGAGAGAGGGAGAAAGGGGGAGAGCAGCATGGGGAAAGAATCAGAGAGCTCTCATGCCAGCAAGGCATGTGAGGGCAGGGAGGGAGAGGCAGAGGGGACAGGGTTTAGGAAGAATGAGGGGGCACAGTATGGGGAGACATACAGAGCACTCATGGCAGTGAGGCATGTGAGGGCAGGGAGGGAGAGGCAGAGGGGACAGGGTTTAGGAAGAATGAGGGAGAGCAGTATGGGGAGACATACAGAGCACTCATGGCATTGAGGCATGTGAGGGCCGGGAGGGAGAGGCAGAGGGGACAGGGTTTAGGAAGAATGAGGGAGAGGAGTATGGGGAGACATACAGAGCACTCATGGCATTGAGGCATGTGAGGGCCGGGAGGGAGAGGCAGAGGGGACAGGGTTTAGGAAGAATGAGGGGGCACAGTATGGGGAGACATACAGAGCACTCATGGCATTGAGGCATGTGAGGGCAGGGAGGGAGAGGCAGAGGGGACAGGGTTTAGGAAGAATGAGGGGGCACAGTATGGGGAGACATACAGAGCACTCATGGCAGTGAGGCGTGTGAGGGCAGGGAGGGAGAGGCAGAGGGGACAGGGTTTAGGAAGAATGAGGGGGCACAGTATGGGGAGACAT